CCAATTTAAGGGGGAGGGGTCTCTCTAACTTTATCCCGTTTAATCTGAAACTGGTGACCCCTGAAATGAACCTTAAAGCTTTGTCTGATCTTCTCCATAAGGAAATGGGGTCTTTCTGCTTTTCCTTAGATGACTGAAGTGAAGATGGTTCAATTTAAAGATATGTATTCCTCTTCATGAGAATTTATTATGCTGCAGTAAGTGTTTGGAAAATAAACTTTAGTAAACTTTAGTAATTTTGTATTTACAAAGCTGACAGGAAATTGTGGTTCAGTTTGTCTTTAATAGTTATTTGCTATTATTAACGTAACAAAACTGCAGTTATTAATAAAACAAAGCAACGTTTTTTTTGTCAATTTAAACTTTTGTTTTATTATTATTATTATTATCAATTATATTGTATTTTTAACCTATTAAATATGTTTATATTATTTTAATGTAATGTGTAACTTATTACAATAAAAGAAAAAAGATGGGAAAATGCAGTCTTGATTTGGGCAGGTAATGTTGGTCGTCCAATCAGCTTGGAGCGTTAGTTTGATTAGAGAGCACCAGGCTATCATTACGGAAATGAGCAGCACATTCTCAAAGAGCTAGTGGCGCGCGTGAATATAATCAATTTTACAGGTAAGAGAAGCGTTTATTTACGCTGTAACTTCTAAGAGCATTTACTGTACATAGTTGCTCTGTTATAGTTTTCAAAATGTGCACTGTGCAACACAACACATAATTCGTTAAGAACTCAAATTAAATTAGAACGTTAATTTAAGGAATTGTTATATTTTATTTTACCTAAACTTATGTTTTTAAAAAATGTATTTGTTTCCTTCAAATATATAGCAAACAAGATCAAGAGATGTGCACGTGGGGAAAAACTTTCCAAATGAACGTGCTAAAAATGTTGTCAATCTGTTTTGAAGACTATTATCAGACTCTCGGGGTGATAAGTATAGTTTCATCCCTCTATTGTGTTTATGAACCCCCGGGACGGAACAGATTCTCTCTAATCCAACTTGTTTTCTCTTTCTTGCTGAGATATGAGAGTTCTCCTTTAAATCCAACACAATCCCCAAAAAGCAATCACTTCGACTTTGGGAATTTCATATAATTTCAACGTCATTTAATCTGACAAATGTATATATCTTTTTCGTAATGGCATCTCGTGCATGTAAACGTTACCTGCGAGATCAGTTTGCAGTTATTTCCTGATTGTTGATTGGGCGTTAATCTGTGTATTGCTGTTTGCATTCGTTCATCATTCACGCCTCTTAATATCTGGCACAGCATGGAAACGTGTTTTTCCTCAGCAACACGTAAACCTTTGTTCTATGTTAGTAATGGAATACATTTTAGCAATTACTGGTCCATAATTTGGCTTTGTTAACAGTTTAGCATAATTGAAATAATTATCTGAAATGATTATTTATAAATGATGAAAACAATTTTTGCGCAATTATATCTCTTAGACTCCCTGGCCACACTTTTAAAATTATTTGCAAAACTACTAGAGAATAAGTTGGTAATAGTAGTTTTGCAAATTATTTTAAATATGTGGCCTGGGTGTACGAGCTATATAATTGCGCTACATCTGTATTCATGATTTATAAATAAAATGCCCTCAGATAATCATTTCAATTAGGCTATTAAACAACCTGCTTGTGACTTCAAGTAACACTGCTGTCACTGTCATGGCATGTCATCTAAAATATTAAGCTAATCTCAGTGGTTAAAGATGTTCTTTTTCTGTAACTTGTTTTTAAATTCCAAGTTGCGCAATCTGAAAATGACCAAGCGTTTTTAATCGAATTTGCATTTCTTTGCTGTAGGAGAAAGGTCCACACATGTGGGACATATCGTGGAAAGGCCACTTAAACTGCCTTTCACAGTAAATCTGATCGCTGATGTATAGTGTCCTCCCCCGCGGTGATCGCGCATCGCGCCTCATTCTCACTCCCATTACGCAGCGGGATTGACATGAAACTGTGAATTGTTTGCTGCTCAAATAGAGTTGACCTGGAGCCAGCAGTCTGAGGGGTTGAGGAGCGACCATACCTTCCACCTCCCCCCACTACATCAGCATGACAAAGCACTGGGGGGGTCCAGGCTTGTTGGCACCACCCGTGATCACCGTAGGAGAAGGAGCACAACGCGACCATCACCTTGACTGCAGAATCGGCTATTCCTCTTCCAAGCGCAGCTGTCATCGCTCCTCAAACCCTTTGCTGGAGCTCGGTGGCCGGCTGGATAAGTCCACAGGGATGGCGCAGGACTCTTGTTATAGAGCCAAAGCGACGAATCAAGGCCCATGGGAACTGCAGGATGGAAACTCCAGTGGAGGAAAGAAGAAAAACTATCAGCGTTATCCCAAACCACCGTACTCTTACCTGGCAATGATCGCAATGGTCATCCAGAACTCGCCAGAGAAGAAGCTTACTTTATCAGAGGTAGGGTTAAGTAATTGAAAAACTTAAACTTTTTTTAGTCAAAATGCGCAATTAGTAATAATGTAGAAACCTCAGTAAATTTAATATGTAATTGCAAAGAAACAGCAAGCATCACAGTGAATTAAATGTGAAAGTTTGTACTGAAATATGATGCGTGGCTCTACCCCAACAAACCCCTGTATTTGTTTGCGGGTTTTAAAAGTTTAAGGGTTTTAGCTGAAACATCTTCATTAGGAAACTGTCAAACCCACGCATTCACTCTCAATTTAAAGTGTAAGGTCGCAATTGCAATATCATTAATTGAAATGTTGAGGCTTTCCGCAGTTACATCCAAAAATGTTTTAAATTATGTACAGGACTATTTATATGTGGGGTGAGTTTAATGCATTTTGCGCATCTAAATCTACCCTGGGCGCGTAATCTGCCTCATGTCTGGATCTCGATGGGATTTGTCTTGTGAATAGTGAAAGCAGAGGCCGCCGATACTCTATCATGCTGATAACTGTGTTTGGAATCACACTGTGTTGCAATTACTACGGGATTGTTATGAAATGTCGCAACTTGTAAGAATCTGCACTCGGGATTAACAGTTTGCTGACTATTTATCAGTGCCTCCTGAGTAAAAAAATTTAAATAAAAAAAAAAAAATGATATATATATATTGTGGAAGGCCTTGCGGTTTTATCCTGTGTTTGCGTGGGGATTTCACCCGTTTTCATACTGGTTAAAAATAAATAATTTATTATAGATTTCGAAAATATTTCAAATTTTATTGATATTATTAAATATACATATATGCTCATATAACATTTCACCACACAAAGAATGTTGATTTAAAAAAGTGATTTCAAAATGGGCTCGGCCACAGCTATCATAAAATATTATGATGATTTTTTTTTATTAATTAGCACAATTTCACAATATTCTATGCCATGTAGTTATGAGACTTCATTTTTATTAATCTTATTAAATATGCATATTTGCACATAAACATCATCCCATTTTTTAAGAATGCGATTTTACTATAGGCCATGTTTCTATGCACAATAACTTTGAGTGTTTAAAATAATATAGTCACTGTAAAAAGAAAAAAAACTTCAATATTCCGGTTTACTTCCTGCAGCTTGGGTGCCATAATAAACCCCGTAAAATAACGACCGTTAAATTACAGAAATTAACCATAAAATAACGAACATTAAATTACAGAAATTTTCCCTAAATTTAAATTTCTTTAATTCAGCCTGTTATTTTACAGTAAATGTCTGTAATTTAACAGCTGTTATTTTATGTTTTTTTTTTCCAGCACTTCAGCTGCCATAAAATTCTGAATTTTTTTTTTTTACAATGTGGGCTAATCTCTGTTTAAATATTTTAGAGGCTGTGGTCAATAATAATAATAATGATGATATGATTTTTTTTTAAATTAACTTTCAATATGTTGTCTTACTGGAACAGATTCTGAAGGAGATCAGCACTCTCTTTCCATTCTTTAAGGGGAATTACAAAGGCTGGAGGGACTCTGTCCGACACAACCTGTCTTCATATGACTGCTTTGTCAAGGTGTGTATGACTCCTAGTGTTTAATTGACTTTTATATGATGGTTTGACATTAGTGTAACATTATCTTGTTGCCCTTAACTATCTAGGTGCTTAAAGATCCTGGAAAACCTCAAGGTAAAGGTAACTTTTGGACTGTGGAAGTGAACCGAATTCCCTTGGAGCTGCTAAAGAGACAAAATACAGCAGTGTCCCGTCAGGATGAAACCATCTTTGCTCAGGACCTGGCTCCGTACATCTTTCAAGGTTACAGTCAGCCGAACAAGTCCAAACCTCTTCCCCCTGAATCATCTTTACCCCCTGTTCCAACCCGTCACAGCCCACCTCCATCAGAGGACCCATATCGTCCCAAATTGGACTCTACGTTTGCTATAGATTCTCTCCTGCATAGCCTCAGGCCTGCCAGTTCAGCTGGGGAGGGGTTACGGGAGAGAGAAAGTTGGGGCGTCGGACCTCCTCCACACACTCGCTCTACCACTCCCCCACGCCCTTGTAATGCTTCATACAATGGCAGTTCATCAGCCAGCTCTGTCAGTCCCGCATCCGATTTTTCTGATGAGGACTGGAGAGGGGTGACAGTTGTTGGGAAAAGATCAGGAGACAGAGGAATAACATCAGATGCATACAGTGACTCCTGTCCTCCACCAAACAAAAGTTCCAAACGAGGCAACACCCCGCCATGGGAGCTACCTACTTCCTATGCCAAGTACACCCCTCCCAATGCTGTAGCCCCTCCAAGCATGCGCTTTAATGGAAATCCATTCATGCCACTAGGTGGTATTCCATTCTATGGTTATGGTAGTGCACACGTTACTACATCACATCTGATAGGTCACCCATACTGGCCCATTCTGCCAAGTGGGCCAGTATCCATACAAGCACCTCCCCTTCTCATGGACTTGGACAGTATGCTGCAATCAGTTCCGCCCAATAAGAGCGTGTTTGATGCGCTTGGATCCAACAATCAGACTGTTCATCCGTCTCCAAACCAGTATGCCCTACAGAACGGACCTTCCCTTTGCAAATATTCTCTTTAAACTGTCCACATCCATCTCAGAATAGTCTTGGAGGAAAAGGTTTTCCTATTTTGGGCACTGCTGACATTCTCTGGGGGAAATGTACAACAGCTGGCTGCAGGAGCAGTCTTTTCAAAGGGATATTTTGCCTTATTTACGCACAAAAATTTATACTAGTACTTTAAAGGGTACATGCTACTACTCTACTGGTAAAAAGGTAACTTTTTTTGTGGTAGATAGGGTATAAAGATAATATTTTCAGTGCTGCACTGCCCTGGCAACAAGCTGTTGTACAGTTTATGCACATGTTTGGCATGGCAGTGCAAGTTTATACAAAGATTTGCAATAACTAATGCTGCTCATCACAGGATAGACCAACTGTGGCTTGTCTCAGGGAAATTCTTTATGAACAGAACTGAAAATACAGTTAAAACAGGCCAATATTGACCAAACATTTAATTGACTCCATTGTAACTCATGTGACTTTCTTTAACACAGTTACTACCTCAGAATTTTACAATCTTTGAAGAGGAGCATTTGCTGCTCTTGTTTTCTAATATTGGCCCTTGTAATGTTTTGTGATAATGCAATGAAACACTTGACTTGAGCAGTGGAATGTTGTCTGTTTATGAGTTGTTTTACTTCGTAAATGGACAGTTGCAGGAATAAGCAATGTGTTCGTGTGTGAATGTGTAGAAACTGTGAGGAACCTGCAATGTTTACATAAAGACAGGCCTTTATGCCATGAATGTGTCACTGTTTATACATTAGCTTTTACCATGTTTTTTGTGTATGTGTATATTTTTTAGACATGATTCCCACAGCCAGTTCTTAGTTGTTTTTAAAACACTTTCATTACACCCCCATTCCAATTGGTAAAGTCCAATCTCAGGTTCTGATAACAGTGGTGGGGGCTTGACAGATCTGATGAGATCCAGTCTTGTGTGTGTGTTTTGTTATTACTGGCAAACATTCACTTTGAAGAACTGTAATTGGAGCCATTTTTATCAGTGTACTGTGTCAAATCCTTATCACTACTCATTGTGTTCCTGTGGAATGTAGGTGGTGTAACTACGATTTTTAGAATCTGCCTTTTTTAATATGACTGCTTATTTCACCCTTTTAAAAATGTCAATTTGTATAAAATGATCTAAAAGCTCATATTGAGCAATTTGGTCATTGATTGAATGTAAGCATCGTTTAATTGGTGGTCTGTGGTTGTCTCTGTCTGTCTGGTGCACGTCATCCCATCACCTCCTGCTGCTATTTTCTGTCCTGTCCTTTTTTTAAAATCATTCATCCACACCCCCAACACTTCCACCCTCTAGCAGGTCTATTCTTTGCAATGGGCTTTAATTTGAGTGTAGAGGGGATCCTCAGTTTGTGAGAGATTAACTTCCACTAAGTTTGAGTCTTTCTTTGTTGTATTATTATGTCATGAGAATGCAGTCAAACTGTATTGGTCGATTTGTTTTCAGTATGTTCATTTTAACCATATTTGTATAAAGCTACCTAATTCCTTAATTTCTCTATTTTTTAGTGTTTAAATATCAAATACAATATTTTAGTGATATGACTCACAGCACATATTTGGTTCCTACACACAAAAAAAAGGTACAAAAGCTGTCACAGGGTGGTAAATTTTTTACACCGGTTTACACTGGTACCTTAAAAGAACATTTGTGCACTTGTAGGGTTTACTTTTGTACCTTTTAAGGTGCAAATGTGGACCTGATAAAATTTATATTTATGTGTGTATAAAATGTACCTTTTGAAATGGTACCGCCCCAGTGACAGCTTTTGTACCTTTGTTTCTAAGAGTGTGAATTATTTTTGATCACATTGTTACTGTCTAACAGTTATATCATAACTTTTGTTTTTTGAAGCCATTCAGAGTAGCTTTTTGAATGACCCCCCAAAAAACTGCCTTAACACTGATAGGAATAAAAAAATCATGAGATTAATACATCTAATGCATCATATGTTTTATAATCTATTTTAAAGGTCAATATTCATTTTGTGAAGTAGCCTATCTAAAGTACACTGTGTACACTTGTAAAAAAGGGGAAAAAACAGAGAAAGAAGAATTTAGAGTAACTTTAAAATTGAATGATTAAAACCAACAAGTTTTTATTTATCTGTAGTAGAGTTGTTTTTGACGATTGTAAAATAGTTTCATATTACGTTCTTTTCAAGCAATTAACTTTCTGAAATCATGTCAGTGGGTTTAATAGATTAATCATTTTCATTCCACATTGAAGGCAAAAAGCATCCACATGCATATATCTCGCATGTTATCATGCGCCAAAAGCATTTTACGTTATAAGAAATGATTTAGATTATTTGTTTTAGATACATTTCTTGGAAAGTCTTTAATGCACGGCATGCTTATGGATCAGCACAATATTTCTAATGAGAATTTGTTATTGCTTGAAGCTAATCTACAGTTGCAAACAAAATTAATAAACAACCCTGAATAATTAGCCCCGATTTTTTTGCCTAATTTTGGTTAAATGGAGTGAAGATTTATTATGGTTTTGAATATAATATTGCTTAAGAATTAAACAAAATCAAAGAGGCACATTCTAAAAAATGCTGGTTTGTGTATTAGCCCAATGTAGTCAATTTTTTAAAACCCAATTATTGTGTTTGTGCTCGTAGTGTGGAACAATAAAAAAATCTACTTAATATTTAGGTTTTGAATAAGTGGATTCACCACATAATTCATTAAAATACATTGGTGATTGTAGAATAAATCCTGCAAAATAAATAAATGTATGAATTAAAAAACTAGAAATCATTGTTTTTTTAATCAAAGGTGAAATAACTTACAACCATTTTCCATTGCAAAAAAAAAGTTCTTTAAGATGTTAAAAAGTATCATAACGTTTCTTTTTCCATATATATGCAACCTCTCTGAAAACACCATTTGAGAATTATATTTTATAGGGGAATACAAAGCAAATATAGGCTCAAAAATAACCGCAATATAAAATGTAATAAAAATAAAATGGTATAATATAATAAAAAAAAATATAAGAAATTCTGTTTTTAATTATACAAGGATTTCATGTAAATAAATAAATGAATAGATAATCAGCAAACGGGAGAATAAATTCACCCTGAAAATATTTTTTTCTGTTTTTAATTTGTGAATAATTCTGTACAGATATGCTTTAGAACTACTACTAGGAAGGAATGACGAAGGAAAAATATGTAAAAAATTTTTAAAATTAGGTTTAAAAAATAGGTTTTCCAAATTATTTGTTAACATTTTAACCATTGAATTAAGTACATTTGGCTAATCAATTAATTTATTTATAAACCGTGTATTTCAAGAGTTCACACTTAGCTGATGATTGATTATAAAGCTTTTTTTGGCATGCTGTCCCGGGAGAGAGCCCTGAGCTCAAAAGATCCTCGAGCCCGGGTCTCCCTCTTGTTTGCAAGGTGAGAGGGAAGTTTGAGCTCAGGTAGATCTTAGGTAGATCTTGAGAACTCCCCTGCTGTAGTAGCTAATGAACAGATAGTGATTGCTCTTAAGCTATACCTACTTACTAGAAGCATGTCTGGTTCTGATTTGGATAAGTCCATTAACTTAAGTTGCATGTTTTTGGACAGTGGGAGGAAACCGCGGAACCTAGGGTAAACCCACGTGAACGTTGAGAATGAAACGTCGGTTGGCTTGGTAAGCACTAGAACCAATGACGTTCTTGCTGTGAGGCAACAGTGCTAACCACTGGACAACTGTGCCACCCATCTAGGAAAAGAGAAGGAGTAGGGGTGGAAGGGGGGATTCTTCAAAATGAAGATGGCTGTTGTATGGAACTTGGGGTATTTATAGTGGCTTAGGAATCAACTGATTGGTGAATTATAAATTGAATAATGCAGGGACAGCTACAAGCAATCATAAGCAATTGATCCTCTCTAAATTAGATTATAACTAAACTTCACATAGGTGCAGAATACTGGGACTTGTCAAATCTTTGTAAAGGAAATTTAATCAAATGTATGTCCTGGATGGATGGGCAGCTACATTGTAAACTTATTATCAATGACACCCATCCATTGCGTGTTTCATCCTTCCTAATTTACCTTCAATAAAAACTGAAACTAACGACCATTGTAAAACACAGTTTAGAATAAAAATTCACTTGACATAAGAAGATGCATTAGATTTTATTTCAGCTGTCTTCAACAACAGTTTTTTTTATCATCCAATGCTTTGCTTTTTACTAAAAGTCTTCTTAAACCTTGTTTTGTGACTCATGCAGGCAACGGCGTTTAGAGGGGAGATGATGATCTCCATCCAGCTCATCCATACGTCCATATCCACCTCCTCCAGGAGTGAACAGACTGAACATGTCCTGTTATGTGTACCACAAGTTGCATCAGTCCACTTTTATGACATTTTAATATTTTTATACTAAATAACAGAAAACGATTTTCAAAAAATCCACCCATCCATCCATCCATCCCTCCATCCATCCACCCACCCATCCATCCATCCATCCATCCATCCATCCATCCATCCATCCATCCATCTCCTAACAAACACATTAAATTGAAATGGGATCATATTAGTTTAATAACCAGTAGATCCTACAGGTCATCATTGATTGGTTCATTTGCATTTTCACTGCCCAATGTATTCTTTTTTTTTTTGCATGTTTGCTTATGAATTAAAATGCAGACAAATGAAAATTACTATTGTACTGTAGCATTTAAAAATCTCAAAACTGTAAAAAAATAAAAATTATACAGAAATATTAGGTAGCAAGATTTTTCAAGAATTCATTAGATCAAAATAAATCAAGCAAATAACCTATTTTAAATTAAGCCTGGTGTGTCCTTATGGACATAAATCTATTTTTTAGTACGTAAAAATGCTCAAACTCAAACGCATTATTGCTGTGCAGTTAATTGAAAATTCAGTTTCGATTTCGGCTTCTAGCGATTATGAAAAAAAAATTCATCGGGATAAAAGGATTATTGCATCATTTACCGCCCCCTTTCCAGTTGTACACATTTGTTGCTCTGTAGTTCAGTTTCACATGAAAATGACTAAAAGCATGTCTTGTAATGTAACTTTTGCAGCATGGCAAAGTCCTTCTATATCAGTAGTTTCTTCTGCAGATAATCAAAAAATATATTGCTTAAGGGGGCTAATAATATCGACCTTAAAATAAGTTTCAAAATATTTAGACCTGTTTTTATTCTAGCCAAGATAAAACACATAAGACTTTCTACAGAAGAAAAAATATTAAAGGAAATACTATGAAAAATTCCTTGCTCTGTTAAACATCATTTGAGAATTGATGATAATCATTTAGTAAATTGCAAAATAAACCAAATAAAAATTTTGTACAAACAAAATAAAATGTAGATTAAATAAACAAGTGTTAATTCATTAAAATCAATTCCTTAAATTAAATACATTTTTTAATACTCAAACATTTACAAAAAAGGCAAAAGTTTAGTTTTTTCATATAAAAATCCTTTAAGGACCTACATCTTTTTAAATTTTTTTTTATGAAGCACAAGGTTTAAATGGCAGGTTTTAACGAAAGTGACTAGTTTTCCATATATTGCCTTTGTCTTCTCATCCGTGACAGGTCAGGCTAAGCATTTATTAGGCAATCAGTGTAACAAACAAGCATTGTGTTCCCTGTAGCACACCCTTATCTGACACAAAAGATACAGGCAAACAAATTCATTTAAACAGGTTTTTTCTTGGAGCTTCATATTCATTACATCTGAACTACTGAAGTTTTACAGCGTTTTGGTTCATTTTCTGGATTTTAAATGTCTTGTCATAAAATCTTAATATCCTAATATCTAAATTTTCTAATTAAACGTCTCAGGGGATTGGAACAGTAATGAGATGAAATTTATAAAGGAATTTGAATTTTTGGGTAAACAAACCCTTTAACACTCTTTATTCTGACAATAAAACAAAACTGAACACGCTGTTGTGTGTTCGCCAACAATTTTTATAGCATTTTCCCAAACCGTGGGGAGAAATAACAGCTGCTTAGAGAAGATTTAATGATTCTTCAACAACTTTGAGAAATTCTCTAGTATGTAAAAACACAGAAAAGTTGTCTTACCCCAGGATCCAGGCTGATGGTAGTCTTGGCCCCTAAATTTAAGACTCTGCCATCTGTTTTATGTAACAAATTCAGCCCAGGTGCTCCATTTTTACCTCCTAGAACAGTCAAAAATTATAGATGATGACTACTGTACACAGATGCAAGGAGATAATGAACATTGTAAAAAGTAATTATTTGATTACTAAAATAATTTACAAAGTGAGTAAACTCATTGCTTTAAAATAAACAAGTTGACTTTACTTAAGTTGAGTAAGGCCCCGTTTACACTAGTGCGTTTTAGTTTTAAAACGGCGTTGTAGAATGAAAACGATCCGCGTCCACACTCGCGTTTTACCCAGCGTTACCATGCTCATCAAGCATCTCCCGCTGGATCTAATCTCACTATATTTGCTAAACGTGATATTTCATTCATGTTGTTGTCTTTATCTAACGACATAGGCCAATTCCCTGACTTTGGTCATTGGAATCTATTAAGTTACTTGTTCACGGGTAACATGTTTTGGTTAAGCGCAAAGTTAATGATTAATCCAGGTACATTGACTGATCGCTTGCCTTTGTTTCCTACAATGTATAAACTTATTGTATGTTATACTTTTATAATTATTGATTATTAAAACTGATATTCAGCAAAAGAGAGGGTGCGTTTGTATTTTCACTGAAATTGAAAGGAGACAGTTGTTATGGGCTCCGTTTTGTTTTAAATATCCACACAGTGAAGATGACGCTCATATATGCAGCACGGCGCCTCAACATTTCTGCTGTCTGTTAAGTTGCTAATATTAAAATGAAAATAGGCAGTTCCTTAAATCATGTTTACATTTTATTGTTGAGAAAGTGAAACAACGTAGCCAAGGTGATGTAAATGAAGTTATAAAGTACACTGTTCCCTTTGAAGATTTACCTGTGTCCTCGGTATGTTTTCCATATCAAACTGAGAAGGGGGAGACTGCAGCCTTGATCAAACTTGCGAAGTCTTAACTTACAAGAAGAGGATGCGAGACTGAACTGTGTGTGGGCTACTTAATATTGAGGAAAAGCCCCAATCAGATAGGCGAACGTTTGCAGCCCCGCCTCCGTTTTCAGATGTCTCCGTCTTTCCCCATCCACACTGAGACGGAGCAGCAGCGTTTTAGAATGAAAACGGCCTCTCCAGCGTTTTCAAAACGCTCCGTTTTCGGCGCTCGAGAACTCCGGCGTAGTGTGGACGGATGGCGTAACCGTAGCAAAACTTATGCGTTTTCAAACTAAAACGCACTAGTGTAAACGGGGCCTAAGCCCATTGTAACTGGGAACTATTTACTAATTTTATAATTACGCACAGTCAGTTTACTTAAAGTGAAAGTTCATTCAAAAAATAAAAAATCTGTCAT